TGAACCTAGTCAGAAACCAATGCTTCTCAGTCGCTATCATACTCATTGTCCAATCACTGTTACCACACTCATTTATCAAAAGTGATTTGTGATACCCCCTTTAGGTAATATACAGTAAGTGAGGATCAACATTTTTTTGTTTATGGCTACTAGGTTAATTGGGTACATAGGAATATAGTCTAAGACGCACACCCCGTATGAAAGCTGTTATCTTTTAAAAAAATCAGTAAACTATCAGAAGGAAAGAAGATAATTTTTGAGTTGGAAAACAAAACTGCTCAGTATGTGTTCCTTATGATACAGTATATCTGCCATACAGTATTTATAGGAATCTAAACAGGAGAATCTTTAAATTGGCAACGTATAATGCAATTGAACCCACTTCTTGAGTGATAATAAAACCCAGTCTGTAACCTTCTTCCAAGAAAGAAGAATATCCCCCCTAGAAGGTTGTTCCGCTGGCTGGCATGTATCCAAGATGGCCCTACCCTCCTCCTTACATGTAGGTACCTTTCACTGATTTCCTACCATCTAATGCTTCAAGGATATGCAGCCAAGATAAGAAATGTCCTGGATTCACTTTACACAGGACATACAAATGGAAAGTTTATCAAGAAGGGGCAAAATTATTATGAAAGAGATTATTAGCTATGTGGTGAGAAGTTCAAAATACATTTCTTGATGACTGGGTTTGACCTAGATTTGATTATCATGTTATTTATATTCAGAGCAGGAACATAGGGTGTACAGTAATGTGACTGATTTTTCATGTTCATTTTAACTAAATACATGTACATGTATAGGCCTACATGTAGCTTTGATAATTGGAGGAGCCTTTAAAGAGAAAGTCAACCCGGATATTAGGTCGGTTAGAAAAATGAGAGAAACAGGGCACAGAAAGTTTGTGGAAAATATAATTAAAAATAAGAAAGTTATTCATTTTTTGGAAATTTCAATCGTACAGCACCCTTTATATAATTATTGTAAACAGGTACATGTACAAGCCCTGTATGAAACAAATCTATTCCGTCATCATAACTTGAACAAAAATGACAATTTAAAAATAAATTGCTGTAGAGAGTAAATTGGAGCTGACCTTGCAAGATGCATCACAATGCTTAATACCAATTTATGTTTCACAACTTTCAAAATTTCATAACTTTCCTAATTTTCATTGACACTTTTCCTCTCATTTTTGTGCTTTTATTAATACCAGCTAATTATCAGAATGGACTTCCCCTTTAACTGATAATGTTATTAATTCTACATGTATGTAGATTATGTAATCAAACGAGGCTATGCTTTGCAAAAGAAATTTCTTCAAATAAGTGTGATTTAGTAGGGGAAATAAAGATTGCTCTACCTGTTAGTTGAAACCTGCATGAATTCACTCCTATTTTATGACTATGATTCATGGTCTCGTAGGTATAGGCCCCCTACATATACCAAACATGTGAACAACCCCAGCCAGTCATATATCACAGGTAAAAGGAACATGGAGTATAGGTGTAGGTGTGAAAACATGAGTAAGTAGCATGGCATGATAACTCCCTAATGTTAGAAACTGGAGAAAGATTAACCTTGAGTAAATGGGAGTAGACTTTGATCTCCTGTCTGAGCCAAGTCTGCTCTTTCAAATCCCAAGAAAGAAGAAAAGTAGAAATCTTGCAGAGAAAGGTTTAGTGTCTAGGTCGTCCAGGCCAGTGGGTTTGACCCGTGATCGAAGCACCAGGAATATCTTCATTTCATTTGAATGGTATTCCACACGGATGGGTGCGAAGGAAGCTGGGTATTTCCCCTTCTCCTCTGTAATCACTCCTTGACCTTGTTCACACTTCCTGATGTTTAGTGTTTCAAGACAGGTGGAGTCTATCCACCAGGTGTAACGTTAGATAGGTAGTCAGAACAAAGCAAGTACCTGCCCAGCGCGACCATGATTCATACAGTGTATGCAGGAAGCATAGAATATGTGATCGTGCAGTAATATTTCCTACTGCAATGTTTTAATAATGTTGTGTATGATTCATGTATGACCCTTGTTTAATGTCAAATTTGAATTAAATTATGATCATTCAAAAACTTAAAGCAAATTCACTCTTTGGAAACAGATTTTATGGTTTATAGAAATATTTTCTGTATCAAATTGTCACTTTACTGGTTCAGTGTAAAATGTAATAAAAGGAAAGTCAGATATTGCATAATACAATAATGAATATACAGTTGAACACTTAAAATGAAAACTATCTTTTGGACAAATCTTATAATCATTTTACTTTGTACCATAGACACATGCTGCCACACAATTTCTTTCTTGAGGTTTTTTTAAATTTGTGTAAAAGATGATTGCTGTTCTTTTCCCTGTACAATGATTAGAATTATTTGCATAATTACATATCATTATTGACATAAATCAGTATTTGAGACATTCAGAATGTAAGAAGATTGTCATATTTATGCTAACATGCAAACAAAGGGTCAGTTTTTAACTTTTAAAAATGTTTATAAAGGAATTGAATTAACAGTTTAAATGTATGCTTAGATCTGGAATGGAAGGATGTCAACTTAATGCAAGAGTGCATTTGTTGACATCCCTTCCGCCCCTCCTGGAAGTTGAATTTAAAGATTGATCGCTTGTTTCATGAGCCGGCATTGTGTATGAGGTTATTAAAGCATTGCTCATACATGTAAGTCAGTGATGTGTTATTGAGAAGAGTGGATTAGAAATATATTGTATGCTTTCAGTTTTGTAACTGTATGTAAAAGAGCATTGGTAATATTTTTGAATTCTGTTAATGAAATGTCCTGTATATTATTATGATTCAGTTCACATATGTACCTGTAGAAATAGCTTGCTTGTTAGATGTACAGGTCTGTTGGGGTGGGTGTATACAGGGTGAGCTTGTTATTGGTAACCCAAGCATGCTGGGTGTATAGGTATCGGTATAGGAGGAAATAGGTGCTAATGAGGGGCTGGGCTGGGCCTCATCATCACCATCAGGGCAGGGGAGGGAACTAGCTAGGAGATCACTTCCTGCTCTATTGGTTGGTTGGTGTGTTGCTTGGGAGGAAGAATCTTTCAAACACACACACACACACACACACACCACAGACAGTCTTGTTGATATTTGATGTATAACATCCTGTATCATCTTGGAAGATGTACCGGTAATGAGTTTGGAGACTATCCTTAGAACAAGTGCAATCTTGCATGTGGGCAGTAGTTCATACAAACATGTACAGTACATGTTTTTTGTACTGTCCAATTTATGATATACCTGAAGCGAATTCCTTCATTTTGTATCAACATTTGCTATAGATTATCATACATGAATGAAAGTATAACTGCAAATTCAAATGGGAGGTACAAGTAAAAACAAAAACAACAACACAGATGTGATCAGGCATGACATGTACACTGTATGAGCTGTAATGTAATGTGTCTCTATCACTACGATCAAGTGTGAACATTTTTGTCTTGGTTTTACACATGTGAACAAGGGTAATAAGGAAGGGATACCAAGTTGAACTTTAATGAGTCTAAAACCTTGAATTCCTGTTTGGGAGTCCTCATATACGTGTGACCTTTCTTTAACCTTTAATGAAGGACCATCTTACAAGAGTGCATTCAGCAGGCTCTGGTAGAGGTGTAAATTGGTTGAAAAGGAAGCAAAATATTTGAAAGAGTTAGCGCTGAACAATACCTGTGTCATGAATCATTTCATCCATAAAGGTTATATAATATACACATTTTCTGAGGATCAACATAAAGTTTCTTGTGAAATGAGAGGTTTTAATTTTTTTCTTTTCTTGTTAGTTAATTTGTTGATTGTGTATTTCACGAAGGACTTACACACCGGTACCATTTTTTATTAAAACTATACTGACTAAACTTGTTGATGTAACTGGCTTTAAGGGTTAACTTGTATACAATGTTTGAGTTGTATTATGGACAAATTCATAATATAAAGCTGTGTACATGTAGGTTTATTATAAATGATACTCACTATACTCCATTGATTAACTTATTTACCTGTAAAAGTTTTATGCCTTTGCTTATATGATTTTTATTGATCTTGAAATACCAGCATTATATGATATATTCTATTTTAAGTGTATAATACTTATTTATTTTTGTTATTTACGATGTACTTTCTAAATCTAGTTTTATACTAATGATAACCTACATGTACTACAGTACATGTACTGTAATATCCTTTTTTGTTTGTTGCAGATTCTTAATCACCCTTTTATTATAATTTACATTATTTTGTTCGTATTGGGAAGAGACTATTCATATTTAACGATATAACTTCACTTTAATAAAGAAATATTAAAAAGCTTAGTACATACATGTACATGTACTTCTTTCCCAAAAGGGTATTTTAATTCTAATACTGTTTAAATTATAATGCACGTTGCCTGAAGAAAAAAATCAGAGCAATAATTCAGATAGAATGATCAACTACTATCAAAATCAAGTTGCTACATGGAGCTTACCAATTGGCATAATAGTTTACTGATGTTACTTGTGTTCAAACTTTAAACACACAGATGTTCTGATGATTGAAAATATATTATTTCCTCTATATTGTCATCAACATTTAAAATGTGAAATATAGCAATAACAAAAAGATGAAGTTTTGATGGAATCAGTCAGAGGTTTACACACGGCAGTACTAAATTTTCACAATCGTGTAGTTTGGCTTTCATGAAGCCAAGATTGTCTGTACTCTCTAAACTAGGATAATGTAAGCTACATGTATCAACCTGGACGGCTGGGCCCTGTTTCATAAAAACTTGATATCAATATTTGTTAAAAGCTAAATTTATATGACAAATTTGCTCTCATCCAATCAAATGCCACAATTTCAGTAGCTCATAACAATTATTATAACTTGTTATTGATATCAAGTTTTATGAAACAGGGTCCTGGTATTGAGTTAGCTAACGATAAATTGATTGTGTATTACTGTTAACACTAATGTACCCCTTTCTTTCAGCTGTTTTGTTGAACTACCAGCCGTTCGTTCCTCAACTTGACTGTTCCTTTGGTTTGTGAAAAACGACCCATAGGAATTGCTGAGGTATCAATCACATTACCTTATTTTATTTTACTTTATACTAACACCTTTTTGTGTTTTCTAATTTCTACATATTCATTTTGCTGTTTCGTTTAATTTGCCATTTCAAAACTAACATCTTGGGCTTTTATTTTTATATGTTGGTTATTCCTATTTGCCTTCTTTTTCTTTTCTTTTCTTTTAATCTCTTAATTTATGATTTAACCTTTTAAAATTATGTTCCATATAAAACTAAAAGTTAATCTTTACATTTCATTCAAATTTTATCAACTTCAATTTATCCAACTATAAAAATTAAATATGATTTTTTTTTTGCTCTCGTTTTCATTTAACAAAAAATATATATCAGCAACAAGTTTTCTAATATTCCATTATTATTGCAGAATATCCTAAAAATAACATTTCTTTCTTTGCACTGACGATTTCTTTTCCAAATTCACTTCTTTTTGTCATTTATTATGAGCTGACAAAACATCATCTATACTGCCTTAATGTAATGCTTATAGAACAAATTTTCATGCATTTTGCTTTTATTATTTCATCCATCATCTGCTCTTCATCATCTCTGATTCTCTGTAATAGCTAGGTGAAAGGTTCCTGTTTCTATCCTTCATGCTTGTTCAACTCATGTGGAAACTTTAAATTCACTCTTCTCTAGGTTGTGATTAAAAACTTTTAAAAGAAAAATTGTTTGTCATTTCTGTAGTTCATGCAATGTGCTGTGTACTATCATTGTCTTTTCTTGATGTGATCTTCAATGTACATTGTGACTAAGAATGCTAATCATGTCATATTTTAATAAAAATGTTGGTTGCAATATAAATGAATTCAGAATTTAGAGGTGCTCTTGAGTTTTCGTCAATTTCCAAAATTATGAATTCTCCCTACCCAGGTGACAAAAAGATATCTAAAATAGAGATTTTTTTTTCTTTGGTCAGATCTGCAAAATCCTCAGAAACTCAAGATAACCTTTAATTTATTTTCATAAATAAATTTCCTCTTGATATACTGTAGCATGTTTTGGGTGAAGTTTAAACCATTTTGTTGGAATTGAGGAAATACTTAATAGCTCATTTCTATGAGATTTCTTGTTGTGGGCGTGTGTTGAGAACAATTAATGAAAAGCCTGAACATAAGCACACATCAATCTCTTTGAAAGGTATTTTAACTCCTGCAGTGCATTTAATCAATAACCATTGTATCACATACCTAACAGTACCCTAACAGTGATTTTCATGAATTATTACATGTCTATTTGTGAAATATATATTTTGTTATGAGTGGGTGCTATGTGTATAACTCCTAACAGTTTGAAGTACCGTAGTACCATAGAAATAATGAATGAGTTCCGTATTAGCCACTGGTTAATTAAGGTGGTATCATGGTTTGTTTGATGATTATATAGAATGTTGATTACATCGTATGCCATTACTTAATGAACATATGAATAAATACAAATTAATAAGTGAGAATTCCATGTGCATGCACGTAGAATATCACACATTCCAAACATTTTTTTTAAAAACACATACATTTCCTTGAAAAGTTATTTGTTGATACATGAATATTCAGTGAGTGCTTATGATGAATTAGTAATTATACTTGTTGAATCTTGAAGTAAGCCCATTACCCATTAATTTCATTCATTCTCCATATTATTCAATGTCATCTCCATTAGAATGCAGTGAACTATGCCCATTATGTATGAACACTACTTGGTCATGCATGGTTTTCGCAAGTCATAAATATATTGAATTGATCCTTTGATGCCATTACACCATTTACAAAACATTCATTTTCCCACACTGTTATTCAATACTGAAACTAACAATTGCTGAACCTGCTGCTCTTTTATAACCACTTGTATTAAGCAAAGTATTTTATGCATATTCTTGATTTTTGTTATTCAAACTTTTCTGGAAGAACTTAGTGAATTTGATTTCATGTAAGTGTGTCGTCTGCCTTAGTGTTTAAAAGGCAAGTATGTTTGTGCATGTAGAGATTTAGTGTCCTAGTGGATAAGTCACCAGCCTACAGGGTTCAAATCCCTGCTTCATACTGTACTAACATCCTGTGGCAAGACATTGAAATCAACATTTGCCTTTGAACTCAACCCAGGTGAGATAAATGGATACCTCACACAAATATACTTTGAAATGCACTGTGCACTGCCAATGATCACTACAAAATGGGGGTAATAATTTCCAAAGCCTAATGAATGCTTTACAATGTTTCTGCTTGACCTGGTTTGATTTTAGAACCACAGTTATGCTGCATTCCAGGATGTAATATTGGCATCCTTTTGTGCAGTCAGCCTTTGTCAACAGGCTAGTTTATAATAACCCTCTGGTTGCCATATTTTTAATCTTTTCCTGACTATACTCTTCATATTAATGATGATGTTACTCTTTGTTGTTTTACTCACATTGATGAAGGAATACTTGATATGAAATAATTGAGGTTCAATGATTGAACATGTGCATGTGAGAGGTGCATCATGGTTGCTTGCATGCTTTACCTCGCTTGAGGTTCTGGATTTTCACCTTACACATTGACCTGGGTCAAAGGTCACATAGGTCATTGATTTGCATGATGAATATAGTAGCTCTCAATCTGATCTGAGACTGATGTTTGAATTTAGGAAGACAGTCATTTGAGATGAAGCCTACTTGAACACAAGTGTTACATACATGTGTATGTCATCATGTTGACCAATAGAAGTGTGCCTGAGTCACAAGGGATTCCCAGGATTACTTCTTAGCAGATTTTATTTTCTATTAAAAAAAAAAAAATTACTATACAAAGCACTAGAAATCTTTTTTTTTTTTTCAAAGTTGAAAGCATCTTTGTACTTGGTAAGTCTACACATGAGCTATCATGAATGTTCTATCCTGTTGGCTGCAGTAATTTGCTGGAACCGTCGGTACCCCGCAGATCTCTGTATTTGTACAAGCAGAGCAGTGGCCTTGTAGTCTTTGTATCTAGTGTAGTCCCATATATACCCTTCCATAGTAGCATGTTATTGACAAGGAACTTTGTATAGCAATCGTGAGTGAACTAGATTGCCTTTATTTCCTAGCACTTTGAGATCTCTCTCTCTATCCTGAGTTGTGATAAGTGAATTGCATTTGTTCATCACAGCTTGTATTAGATGCTGATTAAATGTGACATGGCATCTATAAGCTGTTCCATGTTGTTTCTTCTTCAATGCTTGATGATCATGCTCTGTCTGTAGTCATCCCTTGAAGTGTGTTGGAGACAGCTTTCTATGATTGTGTAGGGTACACCTGTATAAAGCACCTTCTGTATGATATGCTGGTTGTAATTCAAGGAGCATGTTTTGACCTTGAGGCAGGGTCATCATTTTATGGCGTCACACTCAAGTATTACTGTCCAATCTCATGGTTTTATCATGGTAGGATTGTAATGGAATGTGATTCAATATGTTTGGTTTCACATAGTGATGTCATGTCTTGAGTTGATTTATGGGGAAAGCCTGATTTGCTGAATCAGAACTTGCCTGCTGTCAAAAAACTCAAAATTATGTAAGGAATATTTAAGTTTGAAGGCAATTTTTTAAACACCAATCTCCCTGTTCTTGTAGTTTACTTTATTATAAATCTTACTTTACATCTTCAATTGTTCAGAAACTCTTTTTAAATTACATTTAAATAGAAAGAAAAGAATTAATATCCTGTGGTTTACAATACATGTAATATACAATTTGGTGCCCGTAATTATTATCAGTTCTTCAATGAGGATACTCTGATCTATTTCCAGTCATTGCTTTTGTTGTGTTTATATTAGTAGTGAAGCTCACAATTTATTGAGAGAATAGCACAGCTTCTGTCCAATATACATCCAAGTGGTTTGTATTTTACTCTCATTTATTGGATTGTAAGAATGAGATGAACTGTGTGTTATATTACTCTCATTCTCAATAGACTGTTCTAGATCCATGCATGAATGAATTATAAGCCTCTCAAGTACTGTTTGCTGAACGGTTGATATCGGGATATACCGGTAGGCACCTTTTCTTGAATGCTGAAGCAATACTTGATTTTAAAAGAGCTTTTTTAGCCAAAGTTGGGAATGCTTCTTGAATTAATCTTCAAGGTCATGTAAAGTACATGTAGATGAAAACTGAACCATTTGAGCCCCCTGTACGCTATCTCTACAACCTTCTACCAAAACTAATGCCTTTTTACGGAAACCCTCCCCCAAGGCTATGGAGCTATTAAATGAATCTTATAATCTCTTGCCCCCCTCCTCAGAGCCACATATAATCACACTTCTTTTCATAGGGGTATCATAAATATTGATTTGAGTCATTTGGATCTATATTAGGTATCAGAATGGAGCAAGAGTCGGTCTGTACCTACCCCTGCTCAACAAAGATAGAGAATTGAGTGATATTGGAGGTCACTTGGTAAACCAACAGAAGCTAACAAGTAATCATTATGTTACAGTGTAGAGATTGACCTTGTCTTTTATTCTTATTGCCTCTTCCCCAGACCTACTAAAATTTTCTTTGATAACGTGATAGCTTTACAGAGAGATAGTTCCCCTTCCAGATCAAAGGTATCATCATCATTATCAAAATGGCGACTCATCGACATTGCAAGTGAACCCTGAGACATATTAACTTATTCTTCTTAACCAAACTGAACACTTTGATACATCTAGTTGACCATGCTCAGAATAGGCCTAATTCTGAGTAGGGTGATGCCCGAGGAGTTGTTTTGTTTCTTGTAAGAATCATACATGTACTTGAATTGATGTGGAATTCTATAAAGTTTAGTGTGGCAAACTGAAGCATTGCACAAAACCTTGAGGAATAATGCTAACTATTATAAGAATAATAAGATGCTCAACCAAACTTTGAACTTGAAGATTTTCTTGAAAGTCTTCTGATTTCCTTCCTTTTTGGAAATCTTGAAATAACAACACACCAACATTCATGTTGCATGGCAATCATGATCTTCTACGTAGCATGACTTTGGTTTAGGTTGTATACAGTTTAACCTTGTATGAGATGATGATGCATAATTCTACAGTGAATCAAGCCTTTGAGTGATACAATCACATATCAACAGATATCCTTTTCCACATCTTGTAGCAACCTGTTTGAAATTGCTTACTGAGCTATCATATCATACATGTAGATGCATCCGTTCTGCCAATGACCACCCCACCCCCTATCTCTCTCCCTCTCTCCCTCATTTTTTCTCTGTCTCTCTATCTACCCCTCTCCTCTCTCCAATGTTATATACATGGAACTTCAAATTATTGAATTTCTTTAAATATCCTTATTGTTGATTTTCATAATGGAACATGCTTTTTGATGTACCGGTATCCAAAGTTAAACCTCAATTTGAATTCTTACTTGTTTGCTTAGTGAAAAAGTCAATATGCTTTATAATCTTATTTTAATTTCACCTTTTCATATGTTGTCTCAATCCGATTGCTCTCACCATCTTTCTCCTGTTTTTATTCTCCATGTTTCTCTTTTTTAGATCTACTCTCACTTCCTCTCTCATTCTCCCCATCCTCCCCATCCTCCATATCTTAACCCCCTTTATGTTTATCTTTTATCTCTCTTTCTCTCACTTCCCTCACAATCTTTAACCAGTTTACTTTTTTGTCATTTTCTCTTTCTGGTTGTGTCCATTTCTCTCACCTTTTTGTGTATCTTCTCTCACTTTCCCAAGCCAGCTACTCTTCCTCTCCATGACCTGAAAGGTTGTACACAGACCAAGCCATCACATTTACATTTGTCCCTGGGCGCTGCTTGTTCGTTGTGGCATATTACTCCTCCCGTTCTCAGTCGTTCTCAGTGGAGAGAGTATTGTTGAAGGTGGGCGCGTTGGTTGGATGGATGGCAGGCAGGCAGGCAGGGGTAAAGGAAACCTTGTCAGCCAACCAACCAACCAACCACCTAGACAGGCAGGCAGGCTGACAGGCTTGACAGGTGATCTTATGCTAGGTTTGATCTCTCTACAGGTTCATTCCTTGGTATTGAAGTCAATGTATGCAGCAGGGGGGAAGAAAAGCTTTAGTAAACTTGGTAGGCTTGCTTGGGGAGATTCAATGTGCAGCGAGTCGAGTCATAACTCTACCGGCTTGCTAGCTCATTCAGGATATGTCAATGTTTTAATTCTTTCCATCGCTGCAGTGATTATTCAAACGTTACATGTGGGAATACAACCTGCAACCTGTATAATTTTGTGTGTTGTGTGTCACTATAGCAATAGTTACGGGTACTAACTAGCACATTTAATCATGTCGATCCAGAAGAGAGTTTAACACCCTTTAGGCTCTGAGCAGATGATTTCTTGCATTTTGGGATATGATGGGAAAACAAAATCATATGAATAGCATCCAATGTGCTACTGATACCCTATAGGCCTACCAAAATGCCCTTTCAGCATGAGCTATTGCTCATTGATATACCCCTGGTGTACCGTCTCTTGTAGCACGTCACCTGCTCTTGTGATGCATCTAATCTTTGATAGGTTGGTTGGTTGAAAGGCAAGAGAAATCACTCACTGCCAGCACGCCGAACAACAAGAAGTAGTGGCAAACCTATTTGAAATTCATATAAAGTGGTGGTTTTCTACCAAGGTGACTTAATAAGCATGGTAGTGTCACCCTCCATGCTTAAAGGACATAGCTTACATCTTCATCCAGAATTCAATTTGATTTCCATTTCCCATGCCTTTAAGGGAATTCTTTAAAGAATTTCTAAGAAAGGAACTTTATGCCTTTTCACCTCTGCATTGTTACAAGTGGCGTAATAAAATAAAAACTGCTTGATGCTGTATTCACTGCTTCCTTTCTAGTCACTCCATTTTGTATTTAAACATGACCTCATTAAATCAAATTAAAGAACTTGCTGGCAGTTAGACAGTCCTCTTTGCCCCTACATCTATCATGTTCGTTTGTTTATCTTGCTAATCTCTCATTTCTTATTATTCTACCAGCGAGATTAGAATAAGTTTTATTGTTGCATGATTCTAACATGAATGTGTTTTGAATGGAGTGCATACATATACTCTCCTTTAAAGTTCACTAGACCTTTAAAGAATGCTTGACTTCAATGAGGGATAGTGATGTGAGTAATTGAAGGTAGAGGAAGAGGAAGAGATCACTAACGTTGGTCCTCCTTCTATCCTGGAAGATTGACTTAATCACGTGAATCAAGATGGAAATGTATGGTTAATGCAGGATAGGACAGACCGCCGATGACAGTATCAAACATTCTACTCACACTGTGACAGCTAGGTTAGCTTTTCAAACCTGACACATGAGGGAGAGGCATTTACAATGCAAGCATAACCATCCGTTTGTGTTCTCGGACTTGTGCTGAATTTGATAGGCAACTACCCATAAACATGACAAAAAAGCCGAATAAAAATCCCACCCTTGGAGTAAGGTGATTTTTAAATAACATCCTCTTCTTTATCATAAATTCCTGCATATTGATTCAAATGAGGGAAAAAACTTAACAAGCTGTAAATGAAACTATCTTCTATCCCATCTCTCTCTCTCACTCTATATCTTTCTGTTGGTATTTTTCTATATCTCCATCTTCATTTGTTATTATTTGAAGAAGATTTATGATTGTTTAAGGGAGAAAACCACTTTGAGAACATCACTCTGAAAAAACACACACCATTTTAATCTTGATATTGAAATATGAATACATATACAGGTACTTCAGAGCTCATATACTGTAGGACGAGGTAAAGAAACCTTCTTAGCCTCCAAATGTTGGTTTCAATGATTATATTAAAAATACCTTTTTTAATTGGAATAACTGGAATAACTGAAATCCCACATACTTCCTATTTTTCTTTTAAAACAGGATGTTTTCAAGCACAGCATGAATCACTTCCACAAAATGTAATTGTTGTGACTTCTCCACTTATTTTGGTCCAGTTAGGAAAGTAATGGCCATTCCAGTCCAATAGATTCATTTGTGTAATGAACCTGGTTATTAGATAAGGTTGTTCAATACGATTGCATACAGGAGTGCCATCATTAAATTGTCATTTCCAGTTTGTTCAGTGCTTAATTGGTTTATTGTGAAATCCATTTCTAGAGCAGAGTGATTTATCATCATTTTGGTATATATATATCAACTGGACGTGATTCGTCATTAGGAAGACATGTCTGATGAAAATGTTTTTATCATTTGTTTAATTTCTCATTTCCTCTGCTACTCATCTTCATAGTGGACCTTGATTAATTGAACAGTTTTCAAAGTGACAGATTGATTAATCATTCATTGGAGCCACACTTGAATATATTCTCCTGACATATAGATAATTGTATATATATGTATCCTAGATTAACATTGACCAATCTGTATGTTAAAGTGGAATGCAATTTATTTAAACTTACACTGTTTAATCAAAAGTCCAGTGGAGTTTTGTTTAAATAAAAACAAATTTGAAGGTGTCTTAAAGCACAACGTAATAAAACATCCAAATTATGATAGGACCTTCTTACACATGTTGTTGGAATACTCAATTCCATAAATGCCCATTGCAGCTGTCAGAACAAAATACTGTATCTCTTATACCAAAGAAAGATAGATAATATAGAAAGCCTAGAATATGTAGAGAAAATGAAACTCTGAAGAAAAGAATGAAATAGGAGGAAAGAACATGGTCATAAAGCAATGGCAGACATCATTATTTGATTGCGGGACGTAAAAGTAAATTTGATAAATAGGCACTATATATCATGTAGGCATACACAATTAAGACTTATGAGCTGAGGGCTGTATGCATGTAGTTTGTAAATAGACATTGGAAGATATAGTGTCTAGTGCCTCTGAGAATATTACAGGGTATTATTAGAATGGAGCTAAACATTTCTCAACACAGTCGATTTTCACGATGAATTTGAAGAAAAAGGTCAATTACACTTCCACTACCAGTATATTGATTTTTATTCATCTCTTTGTAGATAATATAGAAATGTCTGTTTCAACTTTGAAGATATGCATAAACCAATAATAGTCCCTTTTATGTACATTGACGTCATGTTGTAGATTGAAGCAAAATATTGAAAAACATGTAATGATGTGTCAACAAAACTCCAGCCATTTAAATTGATCCAATCCAATTCATTTGAGTGAAATGGACCATGCTCACCATCCATGACCTCTGTAATCTTAACATGGCCTTTTTAAAATTGAACTTTCTCTCTCTGCTACAAAAGTGAATACTGCAAATTATTTCATTTTATTTACTTATTTCAAAATTAAATTGCTCACCATTAAGTTGTTGTAATGTATCATATGATTTTATAAAGGGATGAAAAGAACACTACCTTTCCCATCAAGTTTGTATTAATGATTTTTTTTTTTATGACAAAAGTGTTTGGATAGGGCAAGACAGGAGAATTGATTATTGTTAACCCCCTCCCCATCTCACCGTGAATGAAGTGATTTGTTTTGTTTGTTCACGCAGGTGGTTTATTTGTCTGCAACATTTGATGTATGATTGCTCCTGCAGAGAGGGAAGGAGAGAGGGTGAGAAGGAGAAAGAGGGCGAGAGAGAGACAGAGACAGAGAGAATGGGAGGGAGGGAGAAAGAGAATGGGAGAGAGAGAAAGAGAGAGGTGGGAGAGAAGGTCAGTCATGCATAACAATTGCTATTATTCCCTCTGTTATGTCTATTGTGCAATGATCGAGGAGCGTGGGGGCCATTGGAACGCAGGCCCGTTGGCTGGCTCACGTGTATAGTAGTGTATGAAGCTCCGTATCTGCGCTGCTTAGTCGGTGCATTTATAAATCGCATGTATGATTCTAGTGTGCGCGGTGCATGTATTGTGTGATCATATCATATCAGAGTTATATTGCCTCGTGAAATAGAGAGAGTTAGTGAAATAATGAAAGCATGGCAGGCTTCTCATAAAGACAAGATAATCAAGATTATGTTCACGGTGTGATTGTAGAGGTATGTACTACAAGGCATAGAGATGTTTTATTTTAGAGGTTAATATTAATCCCTCCTTGATTGAATGAATGATGATAATATTTGATGGATGTTTTTTGATGGGTATATATGTTGGCATGTCAATAAGACTCTCTTTGGTTTGTCATTACCACTGCCTCGTCTGTCTGTGTACACTGTGTGATGTCTGTGTGTCTATTGGTAAGTGGGTCTTGACAGGATCAATTACTGTCCTTTGCTCTAATTCTTGTGTCTCTTCTAAGTCATTGTTTTTCTTTTGATGGATATATTACTTGAGATTGGTATTTTGGTAGTCATTTGGAGGGGTAATTGGGTGTACCAAAAAGGCGGGGTTGGGAAAAATGCAAGAGCTAGATGCCCATTTCAGGTGCCATATATAGTGAATATGCATCTTGGATGGAGTTATCCAGATAATTCCTAAATTATAAATAAAATACATATAAATAAATACAGCCATTTCTACCATTGTAGAATGACTGCTCCTCTAAGTTGCCTTTTCAATGCAGGTTTAAATATTATGTTATTTTTTTCAAATAATTGCAGTCTTTGGTCAAAGAGCATCTACAAAGTAATGATGACGATATATACCTCAAAGTAGATAGGCCTAATGAAAACAGGATTAGAATGAATAAGGTAGAAATTGCTACCCGTTTTTATGTTTTGTTCACACTTGTGTGATTACTGCCTTGCTGATAAAACTGCAAATCTTATGTGATGAAAACGATCAAGATTGGTGTTTTTTGTAGCAGTTATTGTAATACTATTAGAAGTAGGTATGGTAATTCATTAGTACAGTTTAGTATTTGTAGTAGTGGCCGTAGTGATATATTAGTATGCATGTACATGCTAGCAATGGTTGTGTGTAGTAAATAGGAGTCCTGTAGAGTGTAACCCACCCAGAATATAATCCAGCATATGCCTCAACTTGCCACTTGAGTTTTGATACCAGAGTGATGTCTGTAGTCCCACTCATGCATATTTATGCGTGGTCAACCCCTGTCCATCAGACTCTGACAGGTTGTTTCTGTGAAGCTACCCGGAGGCTAGCTAGTATTGCCTCATTAGTCATTAACCTGTTAACAGCCACTGTACCACCATTGATTCTCTCAACTTATTCTCTTTCCTGCTCTTTTTTGTTGTTGCATGGGCCACAAAATGGTATCACTTATTTAAGCCAATACCAAAGCGTAGGAATTGAACTATAATGTCATTATGAAGTAAAATTAAACGTCAACAAAGAAACAGACAGAAAAAAAGATTTAGCTCTTTATGTCTCTAATTTTTTGAGCAAGTAGTAATCATATGTATAAAGTAAGTAATTCATTTTCACCCTTTTTGAGTAGATTATATCACTACATTTGTACAAAATGACTCAAAATTGTGATTTCATATCATTTAAGATCTATCTTTATTTGATTTCCCCATGACCCTCTTTATTTTGTTCAGATCAAATCTGCTATTTTCTTTTCTTTTCTCCTTGTGGATAGATTTCTAAAGTAATGTAGTTGTATGTTTGCTGTACTTTAGTTTCATTGAACTCTTGAATGAATATTGAATGTTCGGACTCTCATGTAATCCGGAATGTTGATTCCCAAACACAACGTAAATATTTTATCTCACACTGTTATCGTGAAGCAAGCATCTAGGCCAAGCCCCTGGGGAGAGGGTCTTTTTCATGATTCCCACATTTTCTTCCGTAGGTCTAAGAATCATCAACATTTTTCTATGATGTAAGAAGAGCTTTTCACCATTCTGGTTTGATTTTACTTGTAGAGAGTGGGAGCAGCTGCCCAAGGAGAAAAAGTAAAAATAATCACAACTTGGCTCAAGCACTGGCAGAAGAAGCCGGCAATTTCCTCAAATTTTTCAGTGGAGATGTTGAAATCTTTGAGATCATCATGCCCCTTCCCTTTGCCTTGCTGTTATCAGATAGCAAGATCACAACCCTTCTGCTGCTCTGTTTTTCCCTCTAGATATCTAACCATCTCCCCAGCTCTCTTTCTCTCAGTGTATTTGTGTGACTGTCTATGTATTTGAGCTTCATGAAAAACAAATTGTACATCCTGCGCTGGAAGCCCATCAAAATCCATCAACGTCCGATAAAAAAAAAGTTGGTCTTGAGATTGTAGAATCTTGTCTTTACAGCTTCATGGACTTTTGTTCAAATAATCTCGGAAGAAAGCGATTCTTGAAGGACAATTTTAACAGTGTGTATTTCGGGCTGAAATGTTGTTACTTTAATCTGATTTTATGAATCAGCAAGAGGTACACATGATCTTTTGAAATGGTGATGGGAAATATAATATGGAGATGAAATCCTCTCTAGGATAACTCTTGAATTGTAGACGATAAAAAATATACTCTTTGAGCAAAGTGAAGCTGCACTCTGCACTTAAAAGAAGTAGTCTTTTTCTATAATTTATTCATAATTTTTTTTTATTCAGTTTGTTTTGTAAGGTTTAAAGTAAGATAGTTTGTAGTTTGTGGTGCCAATGCATACTCTGAAATACATGTATATCTCCCATCAGAGTATAGAATCTATATGCAATCATTGGATATAATGATATTTTTATAGGTATCCTGCATATTAGGTGTGCCCCTTCCTAAGTACTTCTCGCTTGACAGATGACATCTCCGCTAAGGATGTCAAACAAATCTTGCAGTTGAGGGTCGAAAGCTGATCGTTATCTGCTATCTTGTGACTGATTTGGTCAATCTACTGTCAGGTCTCCCATGTCTTCATTTTGTCCAAGCAGAGGTGCAACTTTTATTTCCTTATGATATCAGTTAACAATTTTTATACTTGGAGGAGGGAGGGAGGGAGTGGTGCTAATTTTGCATGTTTCCTTGGCCTTTCGTTATTCCTGTGAAACTACCCAACCTACCAATGCACCCTATAGAGCAAATCTTATATGTGTACCAGTTTTGTATTTACATGTACGTGTAGATAGTGTTTATGAAAAGGAAATTGGAATTATACAAACTGGCAACCGATATCTTTATTTCAAATCTATGCTCAATAATGGTGCTGTAAATGGGGTAATTGAAGAGCATCAGTAACTGATGAGATTCCTCAGGATGACATCATAATGTTTAGCATTATCAGAACTGTAAAAGGGTTAAACTTGAAATTTGTGTAAAACTATGTATCTGAAGGAAAGTTGTGTGACATTGTTACAAGTAGTGGAAGTTAATTGATGGTGTGATCATGCGCTGCTTAATGGCAGTTTGATAATGAATTGGTATTCTACTACCAAAGAGTTTTCCAGCCTCACTCCATTACCCCTTTATTCTTGATGACTGCTCCCTCCCAAGACTTCTTTATCACTTGCTTGCATATGTATCTCTTCATCTCATCTCAATCCGCTCAACCCCTTACCCTCTTCCACATTTTTACTCCAGACAGGGAAATGTTTGGGCTCTTGATATCCCCTCACAAATATTATGCCGGTTTTCGCCCCCTACCCCTTGATAGGATTTCAGATAACCCAATCACTCCCCCTACAGACAAACAACTTCCCGTCCAGCCTTTCCTGTTATTGGTATACACCCCTTCACTGGCTTCCATCGTTTGCTAGAGGGGCAAGGAGATAGAACCAACCAGATAACTGACGTTTCTTTACAGAAATATCCTTGTCATAATCCATTATATTTAAAGAAGTCAGCTGACAATATTACCAGAGTCAACCAGAGATGTTTATTTTATTTTTCTTTGTCTTTATTGATGCTGATCTTACAAGCAAGTTCAATTATTCTTACCAAATACTTCTACATTTATTTGACCCAGTAGTTTTCTGCCAATTTACTGTGCTAAATTGGCGATGTTGATAAATAATATCAATACCGGTTATGGAATTTTAAGACAATTATCATACATTCAGTATAGGAATCTACTTTCACAAAGACAATAACAATAATAAGCGTTATTTTATTAGGTATACTATATTATAAATTTTAACATGAATTATATTACTAATACTCAAGAGTGTTCTTAAGGATGGCAGGTGTGTGACTTGTGTACTCGCATTTCACTAAACAGCTGAAACTAGGATCATGATTAATAAAACCTTAGAAATAGGGATGTTAAAGTCATAATTTGATGCGTAATGTACAAAATAGATGAATATCAATCATGGTTGCTCAGTTCAGTCTTATATGCATAGCCATATCAAGAATGGTTCTATAGACTCTCTCTCTCTCTCTCTCTCTAACCGAGTGCTTCCTATGCTATCCACTGAAGATGATGAACTACCAACCCTTTTCATGCCCTTGCTTGTTTGGTTCACTGGACATACCTACAGGCAGGGGCTGTCTGATTTGAATTTCAAATCTATGATGGTGAAGAGCTATGTTCTTTACACTGTGTACATCTGATATGATCAGTCGCTTCAGTAGTCAGCTGAATTCTGGTTGGAACTGGAAGATCAAAGTGTGGAAGAAAAAGGACAAATATATGCGCTACAGGATGTAAGCAAAGCTGGTAGTTTGTCAAGTCATGTACATGCCTACATTTGGCACCCTTGATAATGGCATGTTAAGTTGTACTTCTATAACT